CTGATACATCTAGGGAAAATTGAAGCCTTTTGAGTTTCGAGACATGATTTAGACACTTTGTTGTTCAAAAAGTTCTTCCCTTGCGTGGTGTTTTATCCATCCGGCTTTAATTTAGATCTTGCACTTGATCTCAAAGGGTTCACTGACCTGGTTCTTTCTCTTTTTGGCGGTGCTTAAAAAATTTGACCGTACCTGAAATTCGGGTTCATTGTTAGTCACTAAAAAGTAAAAACTGTAACCCTCGAACTGGTCAAAACCCGAAACTGCTACCCATAATACAAAATAATATAATACGAAGTATATCAATTTTGTTTTTGGTGTGTGTCTTAAACACATTATTATAATAAATTATGTTCATTGAATTTGATGCGTTAGTAATTTTGGAGACTATTATTTGTGTTATAATATGTTTGTATTTCTAAGTAACTTTATTTGAAAATAGGTTTAGTGTGATGATTTCATATTCGGGTTTAAATCAATTCTTTTTTAAACTCGGACCGAACCCAAACTACAAAGCACCTCATTCGGGTTTAAAATAATGAGCCTTATTTTGGCATAGTTTTTATAAGCTGAGATCTTAGGTGTAAATTTCGAGATTATAAAAAACTGGACATTGACTCGATCGATCTCACCCCACTAAAAATGTAATGAGGATAACAATTCATTACCCCCACAGGTAGCTCAGTTGATCGAATGGTGCGAAATTTGGATCAAAGGATAACCATTCATTAACCTCACAACCAATAACGTAGAACTTGTTTGATCACCAAGTTTTTTGGCTTATAGACAAATTTTGATTTTGCGCATTCCGATAATCAAAATAAGTACTCCGTAAAATTGAAGTCATTTTCTATTGAATATGCTAAAGATCATTATTTTAACTTTTAGCATATAAGTTTTTCTCAATAAAATATGTTTGGACTTTTTCCTTCAATATTACTAAATTAAAGTCAATTTCCAAAAATATAATCATTTTTCTGAAAGGACAAAAATATGACTAACAAACGTCACTGCCTAATTGTATATCACTGTCAGATTTTATGTCACTGCGATTTTATGTCACTTTTGAATGCCACTATCGTCTATCGGTTTTCATGTCACTTCATATGTCACTATCGCCATCAAATGTGTCACTATGCCATTAATAATGTCACTATGTCATCGTGAAATATGTCACTTGGGTCGGGGTTCATCCACTCAAGGCCGGCCACGTCACCCATTCACCTACTCACTTGTAGTATAAATACCAGCATTTACTTCATTGTAAAGGGTTAGCAACTTTGTACTCTTATCGATATACTTCTCTCTAGTTTCCCAATAGTTTAGCTCTGTGTAAAGAATCAAAATTCACGTTCAACATTTGTTTGACTTGGTGGAATAGAATCGGATTCACTTGGTGGAATAGAATGGGATTCACTTGTGCTTACTTATTGCTTATTCTTGCACTTTAATTGCCCTTAAATATTTACCTAAATACTCATCTATTTGATTCATTCCTAGGAAGCCCAAAGGACTGGGTTGGGCATTTGGATCCTGGAGAATAAACCTCAACAGAATGTTGATGGAGTATATGGCCCAGGAACCCCCGGTCCACAGACTCCTACTTCTCCTACACAGGCCCACTGAGCCCAAGGAACATTTGAGGTCCAAATACAGCGGCCCAAGCCTCAAAGAAACCCAAAATACACACTGGGGTGCCTTCGGCCTCCTTGGCCGAAGGCTCCAAAATACACAGGGCAGCCAGATTCGAGGATACGAAGCTACTGGGAGAAAACGGCGTAAAACAGTAGCCATCGGCTATCAGGAGCCTTCGGCACATATATGGTGCCTTCGGCTACACAGAGCCTTCGACATATAGCGCCCTCGGCTGCAAGGAGAGCCTTCGGCTGAACAGACTCAATCATCGAAGATTCCCTTTGGAGACAGCCAACCACCACATTTAATGCAACGTCACATCCACCCACCGCATTCAATGCGGTGAACATGCCACTGCCGGTGCCACCCCGATTGATGTGACCCCTCGGCCGTTGGATTACTGACACGTGTACTCCCATCGCATTTATTGCTGCTATAAATAGCACCCCATTTCCCCATTGTAAAGGATCCAGATCAACACATCTCGAGTTATTAATACAATCTCCTCTCTCTCCTACTTGTTTGCTCTGACTTCTCTCTAGGTTATTCTCATAACAACCCCTCGGATAAGCTACCCCCGGGTACACTGTCCATCAAATGTATTTTAAAGTTTGCTACAGTTTTCCTTTGTGAAAAGTTTTTCCTTTAAAAATACTCAATTACTCTTACTTTTTCTACTTTCTATCTTCTTTTTTCACCTTTCTACACTATTCATTACCTCTACTATGCCCCCCTTAAAAATTGTGCCAACACCTGACGTATTGATCTTTTAAATACGGATGGAATATTATTATTACCATTATTTGTAATAATTGTAATCGATAATAAGTACTTGGTATTAGTTTTTTCATTAGCTCACTGGGAATGAGGTTAAAAAACATTTGACATCAACATTAGACACACGTGTGAATAGAAGAGGTGGAATTTCCCTTGGAGACTTCACTAGCAACCCGAGTTTGAATCCCCTCATTAACTAGGGAAAACTGTCAAATATGTCCTCAAATTTTCATAAAAAAGTCAATTAAGTCCTTCAATAGAAGACTCTGTCCGGCTGTCGCGATTTGAGGCGGTTCCCGGTTGAATTTTTTAATGAATTTTTTGAGCATCTTATTCATCAAGTCTAGTTTACTCATACCAAATTTTAGCTAAAAATTCAATTGGGAATGCATTCAAATTAATTCGAGAACGCAAAAATGCGCAGTTATCTTCAAGAATTAATTTGAATGTATTCCCGATTGAATTTTTAGCTGAAATTTGGAATGAGTAAACTAGACTTGATGAATAAGATGCTAAAAAAATTTCATCAAAAAAACCCACCGGGAACCGCCCCAAATCGTGACGGCCGGACGGAACCTCCTATAGAAGGACTTAATTGACCTTTTTATGAAAGTTCAAGGACCTATTTGACAGTTTTCCCCATTAACTATTATACCTCCCACACTGGAAAGTGAGGAGTAGTTTCCTTTGGCATCCATCTATAAAGCACATCATCTCCATTGGAAGATTCTAGCATCAACAAGCCGCCCATTGGCAAAGTTTGTGCTAAATGCCAAGGCTTCAAGTCGATCTCGAGTTTCACTATTTAAGTTTGTGGTAAATGCACAGGGTTATTCAATTTTAACTAGGTTTTTTCAGATTCTCCAGAGTTAGGTGAGGTTAATCTAAATTTATTAATAACCTATGTTCTTATTGTAAAAATAGGAACAAACGAGTAGGAGTGGGTTCGTTTTATTCCAATTTGACCAAAAACCAAATACAAAACCAAAGTTGAAAGTTCCATTCGGTTTCGGTTCAGTTTTACATTTCAAAACTTGAAACCACTGTTTGATTGGTTCGGTTTGCTTTGATTCTGTTATGGTTTTTTCGATTTTTTAACTAAATTTTGTCATTTTATTTAAAATGATAGGATAGTTGAAGGGATCAAACACATTACATAAAACTGCAAGCATACTAGAAAAAATAAAATAAAAAAGAGAAGAAATAAATATGTTTTGAATTATATGAGTATGCAGGAGAGATAAGAGTGTACAAGTACATATTTTTAATTTACATGGTCTATGACTAGTATGAAAAGGATTCACAACATATACGTTATATACTTATATGTGATATAGTTGAGATGAATATTTATTTGTTCTATCAATGTAAAAAACTTGAAGTTACGTAAAAATAAAAATTAATTACTAGTAACAACCAGTAAAAACATATTATGATATATCATGCAACAAATTGCAATATACTACGTACATACATATATAAAAGACATAACTGATCAATATAGCTAGATTTTTATAGGTAATGAATGCGTAAATGCAATTATAAACTAAACTAAATGTAGAACAAGAAAACCAAAAACTATCGATGATGTTAGAATTAATGCTTAACAATTAACAAATAAAATTTCATATTTTAATTAGTTCGGTTTATTTGGTTTGGTTTTGAATGGTAAAAATCAAACCGAACCCAACAACTACGATTCAGTTCGATTTTTACACCCAGTTTCAGTTTTTTAGCAGTTCGGTTTTATTTAGTTGTGTTTCAAATTATTTTGATTCAATTTTCGATTATTCGGACACAGTTCTACAGACGAAGTAAAATAAAAACTGAACCCACAATAACCAAAACAAACATACCATTAAAGTCGGTCGAGCGCCTTTAGGGGTGGGATCGGTCCAGTCCGGGTCGGGCTTTCGCTAAACCCGGAAATTACCCATAAGGTCTCGGGTTATGAAAATTAGGGACCAGAACAAAGCCCATTATATTCGGACCGAGTCGAATTTTTGGTAGCCCGGATTCAGTCCGGATTGGGCCGGTTAAAGCCCGAACGTGAAATCATCTCATTGTCTTTTTATATTTTAAAACCTATTTTCAAATAAAACTAATCAAAAATACAAATCACAAATAAAAAAATATTGGTCTCCAAATCACCAACAATTCAAATCCAAAGAAGATCATTATCTTAATATTTTGTTTAAGATGCATATAAATAAACAATATATGTTCTCTAAAAGTATTACAAAATAAAACTTATGGATAAAAATGTGACTAAAGTCACTATAAGTATATTTTCATGGCCATTACGGTATAAAATTGAACATATTTGTAGTCACTGAATGTTAAGTCATTTTTTCATCCACCTTAATTATAACCGTAGATTAGGAATTATTTATAAATTATATTTGTATATTATATTGATTTTATATTAAAGTTCTTTTTCAGTCCGGTACAGGTTATATATTTAACTATTTTAGGGATCATTCAGGAGTCCGAATTTTCGAGTTCAATATGTTTTTTTTTTATCAGGCCGTTTAAAAAGAAAAAATCTGGATATGAACGTCATTCGGGCCGGGCCACTGTTTCCTACTTTGGGTTCGGTTTTCCCACCCCTGAACGCCTTTATAAACGTCTTCTCTCTTCCACAATCTCGTAATTCCCAAGGTCATCTGATTCTCGATCTATTTTCATACGGAGTATTTTCATATCCACCGAAGCCCTTTCAAGGTAACAAGGGTATGACCTTCCGCATAATTTCATCTTTGTTCTTCCTTAGGTTCTTTGAATGTTTGAAATAGATCGTGAAGATCCGGTGCGTCGTTTTTTTAATCTTTTTATGCATTCAGTTTTAGGGATTTGTTTAAATAAAAATCGGCATTACTTCAAGTTATTGTCTGCGGGTTCAATTTAAATTTCTGGATGTTTGAAAATTTACAGATCCGATGCCCTATTCTTTGATCTTATTCCTTACTCGGATTTCAGGCTTTGAATGAATGATTCAACCAAAGTGTTTGGAAACATACGTATTTAATTGTTGTTTCTATTTTCTCTTTGATTTATTCAGATGCAGATCTTTGTGAAAACCCTAACGGGCAAAACGATCACTCTGGAGGTCGAGAGCTCGGACACAATTGACAACGTTAAGGCCAAGATTCAAGACAAGGAGGGTATTCCCCCAGACCAGCAACGGCTTATCTTCGCCGGAAAGCAGCTTGAAGACGGCCGTACTCTTGCTGATTACAACATCCAGAAGGAGTCGACCCTGCACTTGGTGCTCCGTCTCAGGGGTGGGATGCAGATCTTCGTGAAAACCCTAACAGGGAAGACGATCACTCTCGAGGTTGAGAGCTCAGATACCATTGACAATGTGAAGGCCAAGATCCAGGACAAAGAGGGCATCCCTCCAGACCAGCAGAGGTTGATATTTGCCGGAAAGCAGCTTGAAGATGGCCGAACCTTGGCTGACTACAACATCCAGAAGGAGTCCACCCTCCATTTGGTGCTCCGTTTGAGGGGTGGGATGCAGATCTTTGTCAAGACTCTTACCGGAAAGACCATCACCCTCGAGGTTGAAAGCTCAGACACTATCGACAATGTGAAAGCAAAGATCCAGGACAAAGAAGGAATACCACCCGATCAGCAGAGACTCATCTTTGCTGGAAAGCAGCTTGAGGATGGCCGTACCCTTGCTGATTACAACATTCAGAAGGAATCCACTCTGCATTTGGTTCTCAGGCTGAGGGGTGGAATGCAGATCTTTGTGAAAACCTTGACTGGGAAGACCATTACTCTGGAGGTGGAAAGCTCTGACACTATTGATAATGTGAAGGCTAAGATTCAGGACAAGGAGGGGATCCCACCAGATCAGCAGAGGTTAATCTTTGCTGGAAAGCAGCTGGAAGATGGGAGGACCTTGGCTGATTACAACATCCAAAAGGAGTCCACCCTGCACCTTGTTCTCCGTCTCCGTGGTGGTTTCTGAAGGTTTCTAGTATTTTCGTCAAGTGTTGGACTAATCAGTCTGGTCTGTGATTGTGTAATGGAAGTGCATTTGCTTTTGTGTTTGTGATTATGCACAATAAAGTTGTTGTCTTGTGAAGATGATGGTGCTATTCTTGCTTTCGTAGCTACTTTGTGCTGATTAGTTGTTGACTTGCTGTTACTATTTTAATATAATGATGATGATTATTGTTCTTTTCATTTTCTACTGTCGAGCAGGTGTTAGATGAGCTCAAATGGTTTTAGTATAGATGCAAATGCAAGAAGTTGTTATTCCCAGTTACTACTTCTGGGCCATTTAGGGATCACTTGATATTTTTCTTTCCTGCCTGGTTTTGTTTATGCGCATCTCAGGATTTGATTTTGGAGCCTTCTGGTAATCCTTCAAATCTTTTCAATTAAATGCTCTCCCTAAAATTTAGGAATTTTGAAGTAAAATATTTTCCTCCCCTTCTTCTAAGGCCAACCTTCAAAGTTTTCCATCTCCGTCTCGGGTTTACCTTTAAAGCCTTCCATCTTGCTCATCCTACTACGCTCTCATCTTTTCTGGGAGGTTCCTGGCTTCCTGCCGGTGTATGACAGCCAATTTTGTGGGAGGTCATGCTTCACTTGGTGCAATTTTATCTGCTCGCCAATCAATTTAGTCAATGACACTAGAGCTTTTAACCGCTTCAGCCTGCACTGTTTGTCTAGTTGTAGGGGGAGGATGAAGAAAATGGTGTGCTCAATCACACACCAGAGACTTTCTTTATCATCTCAATAAATTATTACTCTCTCCGGTTTTTAATAAACTTCACACTTTCCTTTTTGGGACGGTCTAAAATGAACTTCACACTTCCTTATTTCCTTTTTTGGCAAAGAAATCTACATCAAAACAGTGCCAAACAGTGTCAAACAGTGTCTCAACAGTGCCAAACAGTGTCTCAACAGTGCCAAACAGTGTCTCAACAGTGCCAAACAGTGTCTCAACTGTCTCAAACAGTGTCAAACAGTGCCTCAACAGTGTACTCTACAGTAAAGTCAAATTTCTTTCCTTATTTTGTGTGAAGTCAAAGAGTGAAGTTTAATAAAAACCGGAGGGAATATTTAATCACCTCTTTGGTGAAGCACAATATTTGATTTGGTGCAAGAAGAATGTTGATGTATTCAAGATAAGAGGGAAGTAATGTTGATATGGTCTGTCAAATTTAAGACGATGATATTATCGAAAGTATGGATGGACCCGGGCCGGTTCGGGCCCGGTTCGGGCCTAGGCCCGGCCGGGCCTCGGGTCTGTTTTGTTGGGCCCGAGCCCGAACCGGTGGCCACCGGTTCCGGGTCCGGTTCCGGGCCGGGCCGGGCCGGTCGGGCCACCCGTTTTAATTTTTTTTTTTTTTCCTTTCTTCCCCCACCCCCCCCCCACCCCCCCACCCCCCCAAACCCCCCCAAACCGGCCTAAACAGATAGCCCAAGCCCAACAGCCCAAAACAAATGAAAAAAATTAAAAAAAAAATAGATTTGGCCCGGACCCGGGCCCGAACCGGCCGGGCCGTCAAAACCTTGAACCGAGCCCGGAACCGCCCCACCCCCGAGCCTCCGGCCCGAACCGGACCCGGACCCGGATAACCGGGCCGGGCCGGGCCCGCACAGTAGCGGGTCGGGCCGGTCCCGGGCCGGGCGGCCCGAACCGAGGCCATGCCTGATCGAAAGGGTCCCTCTATCCTTTGGCCAAACATTTTCTTTTAGTTGCTCCCTCTTTTAATTTTGGGAAAATTATTATTAGCCCCTGAGGTTATGACATAATTATTAATGCAATCTTGCATTTTTAAAAATCAATTAGTTACCCCCTGAGTTTTGATCATTCTCACTACATGCCCCCTCATGTTAATATTTGTTAAATTAAATTTAATATAACTCTTAAATTCAATAAAAATTGTTTATGAAATTAATTTTTACAGTAAAACTGTAAAACACAATTTATTATCATAATTATGAGTCATTGTTTTTATCGTTATTTTTCTACTTAGCTACTCGATCGTGGAATAAATATTGATCAAAGTAGTTAAGGCAGAGAACCAATGCTACTTCTTTCGTGTGTAGCAAAGAACCAAGAAAAAAATGAATTTTATCAATCCATGACCTAAAAGATTGATCTAGTATTTATAAGAGACCTAAGAGACAAAAATGTATCGATATAGGGCCTGAATAAATGAAACCTATCAATCTAAGAACTAAAATATACATCATAGATTTTGATTTGTTTAATTTTTTATTAATTCTATTAGTAATTTTGATGATTTATTCTTGACAAAAAGTTTATTAGTTTAATAAGCTTAAATGATATTTAAGTTTTTAAAATAAAAATATAAGAGTTCATGATATTTTGTATCTTACTCGTGAATCTTCTCGCTTAACTACTTTCATTATTCCACAATTGAGTAGCTAAGCATAAAAATAACGGTAAACAATAACAATGACTTATAATTATGATAAAAAATTGTAATTTACTGTAAAATTTAATTTTATAAATAATTTTTTTTGAATTTAAGAGTTATATTAAATTTAATTTCATAAATATTAACGTGAGGGGGCAAACAATGAAAATAATCAAAACCCTAGGGGGAAATTGATTTTTGAAAATGCAAAGTTGCATCTATATATATATTAAACCGCTTAAGTCACGTTCCCGCCTACTGACTAGGGATATTTACGTAATTACAACTAAACTTTCTATTCTTCCGATTTACACTAGCGTATTCCTTCAAGTTTGGGGAAATTAGGGCTCTCGAACAGACCTTCCGCTACACTTCTCGCTGAAGTTGGCCTCTCAATTGGAGCTCTGTTATCATCAAACGAATTCAGATTTTAGGGCTCTAGCACAAACCTTGCGCTAGACTTCTCGCTGAACTAGACTCTCAATTGGAGCTCTGTTATCATCAAACGAATTCAGATATATTCGAATTGATCCAACTCCAAAGAGTCCATCAACTCCAAATTTCTCGATATTGGTGAGTATTCGTAGACAAAATTTTGATAGGATAGTGATTTCATGCTTTTCATTTTAAAAGTTCAATGAACGGTCTTGATGCTCTTTCTTAATTAAATTACTTTCACACTCCGTACTATCTGATTAAAGATATCTTAGCAAAGATGATGTTGTTTTAATGGAGTTATTTTGTGAAAATTGTAGTTGCAGGCTTGGAGCTACGAGGACTCTAAATAGTACTCCGTATTAGTATTGTTATGTGTTTTTCTTATACTATGTGAAAAATATTTCCACACAGTATACCCTGCAGCTATAGTTGAACCACTTAGATTTTATAAAAGAGTTGTCATGTTGATTGTTTAACCACTGAGGTATTCAATAATTTGTGGGAATCTATTTAATACATGGTTTTGTCTGATCAAATCCACCTTATTTCATTACTTCCACATTAGTTCTATACTTCTATCACTTTCTTTCATCAATATAATTGATTTATTATATCTGTGATTTATTATAATTGGTTTATAAAATGTAGTTATCTCCATGTATGTTTTCTGGAGTTTTAGTCTCCTTTGTCGATACAATTTTATCAGGTTTTGTGTTCTTTGAACATGCACTTTTTATATTGGATCCCACCAAAAGTTGTAAGTATCTGGTGGATTTTTTAAGGACCAAAATACCTACTCTGAGACAGCCTTCCTAAAGCTGTAACGCACTCCCAGTTTTAGATGCTTTTAATATAAACTACTACCTCCGTCCCACTAAGATTGGGACGAGAGAAAGTGACACGATTATTAAGAAAAGTGGGTTTGTGTGGTTGATATTAAATTGATAAAGTAAGAATAAAGTAATAATGGTTTACTGCCACACAATCTTTACCAAATTTGGTACGGGACAATCTTAGTAGGACTTCCCGAAAAGGTAAAATGAGACAATCTTAACGGGACGGAGGGAGTACATGAGATCTAATAGAATCCCAACAATGAAGATTAGGCAGTCCTCTAAGCTTACTGATTTTCTAAAATAAGAATGTTATAACTATGACATTCTACTAACAATTATTATTATTTTCTTATTTTTCCGTTCTAAGGAGAGAATTCTTTGCTTCAGAATACATTGCTAACACATTCAAAACCATCATTCTAAGTCTTTTTTTGAAAGTGAAAGTCTGATTCCTAATCAGTAAGCATAGCTTTAACTATACCTCATATTCTTATATTTATGGTGTAAAGTATATGTGTCAATTCCTATATTTATGGTGTAAAGTAAATGTGTCAATCAAAGAAACTGGTCATATGGAGGGTTTGTTTGCCTTTTAATCCTACCGATAAACTGTCATTTTTTTCTTTTCTATACATTACTTGATTATCGTAATGGAAAAAACTGAAAAGAATCTTCTTTTTTAGTTATTCCTTTAATTATGATAAGTAATGAGAACTAATAGTTTAATTTGAGGGGTGAAAATACATGGTTATACAATTTAGTTTAGTTTACATATATGTTTATTATAAAGTAAAGCTTTTTCCCTTTATAAAATCCAGTTTAAAACAATCAGAAAGTTGATAGTAGTGAAACACGAAAAGAAGCTCCTCAATGAAGCAAAATTTAACAAACACCAGCAGCCACTTAAAGCTATAGACAACTCAAAGAAGAGAAAATTTCAGCAATGTCAAATAGTAGGAGAAGACTAAAATACTTCACCCTTTTAGCTCAAGCTCTCATGGTTAGCATTCTAGGTCAGGAGTCCATCAAAAGCTACTATTTGAAACGGTATGGTATGGTAATCGTTTGAGATATGTTTGCATTAATTCAAGTATTCATATATTAAGAAAATTAGTAGTGTAGTACAAACCAAAATGCCTATGCAATGTCATGAATATATTGATTTTAAGAATGTGAAAAAATCCCTTGAAATAAAAACAAAGTGGGTGGGATACCTTACATCTATATATTATTAAGTGAACCAAGTCTTTTCCCCGCTAATGTTTAATGACATTTATGTAATCTCCGCAAACGCAGTTGGGTTTTCTTCTTTCCAGTGCATTACAATTGTTTCTAACATTTTCTTCAATTCTTCACCTTTCTTTTCCTCTCCTTCATTTCTACTAAATCTGGACTCTGAACTATGGCGTAGTATTTTTGAAAACTTTCTCTTCTTTGAGTTGTCAATGTTGGGTGTGTTCCGGAAAATAAAGAAAATTAATTAAAATGAATTAATTAAATAAAATGACAAGAGAAAAACAAGAAAGGAGATGAAGCAGAATTAGTCAAAGCTCGTGCTACGCACGATTTCCTTAAAACGTATTTGTTGCCTCCCACGGTGCTAGGAGCGTTGCAACAATCGTTTCCCAGGATACGATGACTACGAACTAATGTTTGAGCACACAAACAAAAGTTCCAGCGAACGAGAACACAGTATGAACACAGAGGGAATTTTCAGATTGCTAGCAGTGTGTTTTTAGAGGTGCAAAACGTGCATGGAGTGTATGAATTCGTGTAAGAACGTGTATTGTTGCAAACCACCTGCCAGCCATTATATAGGAGGATTTGTTGTGTGTAAATGGTGAATTAATGGAACTGAACGTTGTACATCAATGACCAGTCCGTTGGGCATTGAATAGTCCATGAACTGTCCATTTAACGCTGCTGCATTAAAAGATAAGAACGTTGGGCATCAATCGTTGTAACGTTTCAGAAGCGCGACAGAAGATCTCCACCAGAACACCCCGGGAGGGTTTCTAGTGTGGGAAATTAGCACACTAGAAACCCATCCTTTTTCCCATTGTAACGGGTAAACTTCGAGAATCAATTTCTGAGGGGTTCTGTCACGAGGCCACCAGAACACCAACGAGGTGTTCTGATCCGTAGGCTTCTGTCCGAGCACTTCTGCCGCTGGGAAAAAATTAAACTTTTCGGGAAGAAAACAAAAATTAATCGTATCTCTTGAGAGATAGATTTTTGGACGACATTCGTGTCCGCAGGTCGCCCGCGCACACAAGTCGCGATTTTTCTTCTCCGAATTCGGGATTTGATTTGCACCCCCCCCCCCTGCGCGCGTGGAGAGAGCCTTTACCCTAAGGAATCTTAACTCCTTAAGGGGGGAGTCCCTTTATAAAGGGTTGCAAATCCCTTGGGTTTTCCGGTGTGGGAAATTAACACTAGAAACCCATCCTTTTTCTCAGTTTTTCCATTCTAACGGGTAAACTTCGAAAGCGATTTCTCATTCACCCGTTATCCGTTTTGAGCGTACCATATATCGAATTGTAGCCCTTAACAAGGACAATCCGAAACCACTTTGACCCGACCCAAATCGGAAGTGGAACCCACTCAAAAAATTGCCCCAAAATAGCCATTTAATGCAATTTTTCACACATTTTTCCAACAGTCAATAGCTTTAAGTGGCTGAGCTTTAAGTGGCTGCTGGTGTTTGTTAAAATTTTATCTTCTTTACTTGAAAATTACACAACCTGCTTATCTATAATTTCGACTTTATTTCTCTCTGGCAGCCGGATGCTTGCCAATCCAGGAGAGATCAGCAGGCATGGAGAAGGAGAAGCAAAGGCCAAACACTTCGGCCTTCTGATTTACTCGGAAGCGAGAAAGATTACAGAAGTGAACAGGACCAGTAGGGGATAGTTTGATCAAGGACCGGGGACTTATTGTGGCCCGCTTCAGACAAATCGATATCTGCCTCCACTCAAGATTCAATGCTATTCCTTTCACACTGTTGGAAAATTCCCCCAGGTATCACTATCCTCTGCACCTCTTATTTATGAACCATGAGTTCGGCTCTCATATATTTACAAGTCTTGAGATTTACCCAACACCAACGTCTCTAACTTCTACTTTCAGTGAGTCATCTCAACCAAACTTCTGTTTCTTTTTTAATATGCTTATGTTTCCTCCGAGCATTCGATTACAATCCAAAGATTTTAACCCTTGGTGTATTGTAAGGACATATAATCTCTACCATGTTTTCCTCTTCTATTCACCATATTTTTTGTTGAATATTTTGATTCTCTAATGGCTCTAAACTGGGCATGATAGGGTGAAAACACTTCCACATTGCAATATTCTGCTTCTCTGCAAGAACTTGCATACTGCATAGTATAATGTTAGTGAAGATATTTTGTATTTACATCTTCACTCTCATATTTTAATAAGATTTTTTTCAAAATAATTTTGAAGAAACCATGATAGGAATTAGGACAATGGTTTGAATATATAATTTTTGATCTCTATTCTTTTGGCACTGAACTTATATTCCTTAATAATAAAACTTTTTCTTTCTCGCTACTAGATTATTTACAACTAGATTATTCTGTTGTGATGTTTTTTGAGGATGCAAGAGGCAAGCTACTAAAGATGTCATCGACAAGATCTGTGTTTCAATTGTTGTAGGTGGTACAAGATTGTGTTTATGGTGGTATACATGCTTTCCAAAATTGAAGGTTTGTTTATGGGAAGCCAGATGTTCTTAAAGCCTCTCAAAGGATAACATCTAAAGTACGTGCATACACGGATTGCAGATATACAAATAGATGACAACTGAGATGGTGTTGTTGAGTTGGTGCTTAATACTGGCGATCCGGGAGTTAAGTCTTTGGCAGTTAATGATATGACTTGCAGTCTAGCGGGTCATCTCCATCAGCTTTCAAAATACCATGTAATTCTTACAAAGAACATACTGATTGAGGAGTAGTAAATGCTTTTGAGTTTTGACAATAACTATTTAACAGATGACGGTTTCAATAAATTAAAGCAAAAGGCTTGGATTATGATTTTGTCTATTTTGTTCTTACCACTCAAAGACTAGATCTCTACATATCAATTGATTATCGATGTGATGATGCTCTTAGGTAACCATTTAATTCTTAACAACAAGAATAAATATCACCTTTTTTTTCTTTAACAATCTTCTTTCTCTTCTTTGGCTATGATGTTAGAACATAGTCATGCCAATTGGCAACTAGAGAATACTCAATGTTTTCCCCTTAAATTCTTTTCTTCATGGGCTAACTTTATAAAACACAATTATGGCTTGAGCGAAAAAGTCTCTAATTCTTCTCTTCTTTGAATAAGATTTTAGAATAATTTAATGGCATAAGATAGAAATAACAATTTTTGTCCTTTTCTTTATTCTCTTTTGTTTTCTTATGTGACTATGATTTTTAACTCAGAAATGGTAAGAAGAGAGTACATTCACTTCTTTTTCTTTAGTTTTTTTTCTTTTCTTCATGTGCTTTTTTAATCACAACCATGGACGAAGAGAAAAATATAATTTTTTTTTTAAAAATGCTTTTGGGACAATGATAGTAAGAAGAGAAAAATGCATTTTTTGGTCACTTATTTTCTGAACAAAAAATGGGTTAGAAGGAAAATGATGACTTTTTTTTTTCATCTCCTCTTGGCCTACTATCTTAAGACATTGTGATGGTTAGGGAAAAAATACGGAGTAAGTCATTTTAACCACCCTATTAGTAAGTAAATTAAAGATGCATCTTTTTCTCCGACTAAAATGTCAAAACACGACAAAACACACCAATTAATTTGAAAACATACATTAATTATAACTTTAGAAAGAAGAAACAAAGACCCTCCAAAAAAATCAATCCACTTTTTACGGTAATTTCTTCTCTTTTTTTCTATAATTTATAAAATTGTAAAGGTCATAGACTTCACTTTTTTCAATCATTTCTTTATTGTCTTATATTGGTCACAAGTGAAAAAATGACCTTCATTTTCTTAGTTCGTTTTCTTCAATTCAAGTGGTATTCTATTGGGTAGTAGTCTAACGGGTAATAAGTTAAACTTGCAATTTTTTCTATAACTAATGTACGTGTTATTCTACAACAAGAGTTATAACTCTTTGAAACAATTCGAAACATAATGGCTCGGCTCTAATTTATGTGGAGTAATTTGTATCCCTTCTAAACTAATTTAGGATCCCGTGCAACGCACGGATGAAAGACTAGTTAATTATTATGCCATAACCTCAAGTGTAACACCGTCCCCAAGTGTATTTACTTTTATGTAGATTATGTATTGAACCTTATGAAATGGTTAATGAATTTACGAGGTTGTAAATTTTTGTTAATTCTTTTGCGTGAATAGTAAATTGCACGTGGGGCCCACATCGGGGGCGGGGACCACCCGATATTCCCGAGACCGCATATTTTATCCATCATGGTATAAATAATAGTTATATGGTGGTGGACATTTACTTTGGGCCATAAGAAAGGCATTGGGTTGACCGATTGGTCAAACGAGGCCCAATTACCGGTTTTGGGTAATTTATCGGATAACAGTCCGAAATGAATTTCGGGGACTTCCAAATTAAAGTTGGGGAATGTATAATCATCCTAAAGGCCCATTATGATGGGAAGTAAGTGTTATGTTTTATTTGACCCAATAAAATAAAATATAATTAGAACAGTCCGGGAAATACAACTTTCGGGACCAATTGTACACATCGGGACACAAATGGATGACCTCCCACATGAGTGGGGGCCATCCCACGTTTTTGTGCTAAACAAAGACAATAGAGGGGCTGCACAACATGGGTTGACATTGGAGGAAAGTGATGGGTGGGTGAGAAGTGACCAAATGTGGCCCAACTCTCTCACTCATTTGCCTATTGAGACAAAGAGGAGTACCCTCACCCCCTCAACTTCTTCCTGCGGCCAGAGCATCCCCAAGAGAGAGAGAGAAACCTCAAACCACCATTTCTCCATAGCCAAGTGAGCTCAAGAAAGCAAGAAGCTTAGGGAAGAAGAAGGAGTTGTTAAAGTGGAGAAAACCCTTGAAAGTAAAGGTAAGAAGCTCCATAACAACTTTCCTTCCATATTTTAATTCTCATATGACTTATATATCATATGGAGTATCCTTAAGAGTGTTCTACACGTGAGAAGTGTGGATTGAGGGGTTGAAAGGTCGTTCTAAGTCCAAGAACGGACTTGGAGGCCAAAACGACCGGTTAGCCGGAAAATAACCTTTTAAAGGTTATTTGTATTGATATGGGTTTTGTGATGATGAAACCTTGTTAGGCACTTGTCAAAGGGGATTTAAAAGCTTTCACAAAGTTTAAGGAGTCGCCGGAGTTATCGCCGGAGTTCGTCAAAGTTCACCGGAGTTTGGCCGGAGTTCAACCGAGAAGGGTAGAACTTCATCACGCTCATTTGAGGTGAGTGGACGGCTTAATGTCTTATAACTCTTGGGTTAATTATGAGATTACCTAAGTAAATGTTATATGTGTTCCTAATGATGTTCAAAAGATGCTTAAACATGTGATTATCCAAAGTGATTAGACTTATATGTATGACTGATAACCGCTTTCGCGGCGTTGTAGTAAAACGGAGTCTAACCTTTCGGTTTTTTCCCGAGTATCGTGTCTCTCGAGGAATGGCGGAGGAGCTTCTTGATTTTAAGTCCAGTCACAGGTTATCGCAAATTATTGGAAGCTTTCCAAATTAAAACTTTTGATTGATTTTCTAAACTACTTTTTGGAAAAGAAAGTAAATTTAATTGTGCAAATTCTAATGATGGCTCAAAAATAGACTAAAGGAAAAAATATAATATTAAACTTAAATGGATTGGTGCAAATAAGGGCAATGAATTGAGTAATTAGAAATGGATATATTCTTGGACCTATTAATTAGGGAAATTAAAACTAAAATTGGACTAATAATTTCTTTCCTCATAGACAAGAATAGAAACTATTTTCATTAATTTATCCTATTTCTAGGTGTCATTAATGTGTTCAAAATGGTTGGCTTGAATTAAATTCTAACCTCATAGACAAGGTAGAAATAATTCTCCAATATTTTAATTAATAAAAATAGCCAAATTCATTAACTAGTTAAACTCATTATTTAAGCAATTGAATTTATCTCTCATAGACAAGATGTAAATCCATTTCATTAAATTATCCTATTTCTAGGCCTTATTAATGTGCTCGAATATGGTTGGCTTAAATTATTTTCTAATCTCATTGACAAGTTAGAGATAATTTTCCAAGAATTTAATTAATGAATATGGCTAACAATTATTAATTACTATTTCATCATTTCAAAAAACTAGTCCAAATTATTAATTTTAATCCCTAATTTTTTTGGTCAACAAGTCAATCCATATTCCTTTAGTCAATTCATGCCCAAAAGAAATTTAGCTAATAAAGATCATTTTAACAATTAACAATATAATGAATATATTCAACATTAACAAGGAATTAAACATGGATGATAGCAAAAATTATATTATGGAACAATAAACTTGTAGAAACTAAAATATAACTTTCTAGAATTTTTCACGAATTTTTGAACCTAAAATCCAATTTTAACAACTAATTGATAATTTTCTCAATATTAACTAGAAAATACAAAAAAAACAACTACAATTATTCTAAATTCGTTCTAAATTTTATATTGACTACTAGGAGTGATATTACTGTGAATTAAACTGGAATTAGGACAAAAACTAATTTTTTGCCTTTTTTGAGTATTTAATTTAATTTATGCAATAATAACAACTAAATGCCGGAATTTATTAAAATTTACTTCTACTTCGTAAAAATTAACTTTGTTATGATAAATAACTACCTTGAGGCTAGTAAACAACTATATAATTAATTGGAATGGATTTAATGTCAACAACTATTTTATTCAAATTTAAGAAGAAAATGCGAAATAGTGGAATAACTTTCTGGAAATTTTCGAAGCATAGATAGAAAAAACTAAGTACAGATTCAGATTCTACTCATTGAAAAGATGAAAATACATATAAAGAACTCACAATTTGGAGCTAAAATGAGAAAGATATGAAAGATTGAAGTTGAAGGTGCAACAATGGTGGAAATCCGAGCTTTGAGGAGGAAGAAGACGCCCTTTTTGATCTGATTTGGGCTTGAAATTGGTGTATTTGAGTTGAGGAAAAAGCCTGGATTTTATAGCCGAAAAATTCCCGTAGGCGCCCGGGCAGGCGGCCGCCTTCCGGCAGCCTCTGGCCGCCTGCCGTCCTGTCGCCGGCAGACCGTCGGTGGCGGTCCCGTCAGCCGTAGGCGGCCACAGAGGGCGGCCGCCTTCTGTCAAAAATGGCCGCCTGCCATCTTTTCGTTGGCAGATCGGATCCCGACGGATCCCGGCGGACCCCGGCCGCCGCAGGCGGTCCAGCAGGCGGCCGCCTGCCGTCCTGTCTGGCCGCCTGCCGTCTTGTCTGGCCGATCGGTGGTTGGTTTCGTCCCCTTGTGCCGCAGGCGGCCACCGTAGGCGGCCGCCTTCTGTCCAGTGTCGGCAGCCTTCGGTCTTTTCCTGGTCCCGAGTCAAAGCGAGGTTGACTTCTGAATTTTCCCGTAGGCGGCCGCGAAGGCCTCCATTTTGGGCGCCTATTTGGGCGCCTTCGGCCACTTTTGTCTGGCAGATGCGGCTTTTCTTGCTCTTCAACTTTGTCTTCTGAATCACCTTGATAAAATGCTTGCTTCTTCCGGTATAAATGCATGAGTCACTCAAATTGACTCATTTTGTGCTCAATTGACCCGAAATCCCGCTAAACATATTATGGATGTGATTTTTACCTGATTTCATGAAACTTGAACCAAAATATATAAAATGTGTCTTTTCTTTCTATTTTCATTCAAAAATCGCTTAAATTTGATAAGAAAAATAAGTACAAAAATGGACTTATCAATGACCCATTGATATCATAAATGAAGTATGATATGAAAATGTTTATAAAAACATATATGATGTTTTAAGGGATAAAAAGGGGCATAAAATGCTTGGTTATAACTTAATACACGTTGGGATTAAGTTTGACGCAAATCGGGTTTGAAATGGCGAGTCAACGAAAATGTTGACTTGGTTGCCCAGGGGGTAACCGGCGCCGGTTATAGGCAAAACCGGCGCCGGTTATGGATCGGCATGGCCGGTTTTATTAAATTAAATAATAACCGGCGCCGGTTATGTCAAAACCGGCGCCGGTTTGGCACTGTTTTGCCTATATGTTGATTTTCAATGCATGAATTGCATGGATGATTATGCTTAGGCCTTAAGACTTGGTTTAGTCTTGATTATTGATTATGATATAGACCTTATCTAGGATGATATGTGGTAGATCATAAGTCGGGTGGAGTACCCAAGGATCGGGCGGTATCCTCAAAACTCGGTTATAGGGTGGAGTACCCAAGGATCGGGCGGTATCCTCAAAACTCGGTTATAGGGTGGAGTACCCAAGGATCGGGCGGTATCCTCAAAACTCGGTTATAGGGTGGAGTACCCAAGGATCGGGCGGTTATCCTCAAAACTCGGTTATATAGGGTGGAGTACCCAAGGATCGGGCGTGTATCCTCAAAACTCATAGATTACTATTTGTAATTTAGGACCGGGCGGTGTCCTCAAGTTAAGATGATTTGAACCAGGAGGAGTTCTATACACTCATAGGTATATGGGTGGGTTGGGGTTTAAGCCAAGGTTACCGGCTATATTATTTCCCAAATAAACAATGACCTACGGGTCGGGTATTTCCAAGTGTATATATAATGATATATATTTCATAACTTGGGGGAAGGAACTATATGTATATGTATCACCCTATGTTTGGGTCTTATACTTGAAACGTTAGTTATTCTACATTTAGCCTGCTACTCGCTCGGTACTTGTACTGACCCCTTCGGGGGGGCCCACCATTTCAGGTTGAAGCTCAAGCTTGCTATTCTCACCTTGCTCGGTGAAGTGATCTAAAGGGAGACGTGGTTCGTGCTTCCTTTACCGTTTTTAAACTATAAACTATGCTCATGGATAATTTGTAATAAGTACATTTGTTTTGGGCCTGCGAGTCCACGTTTTGGCCATATGTGGCCCATGATTGAATATTGGATATTTCCGCGATTCGTTCAATCCAAATATGTGATGTTGTTATGTATGTTTACTTACTGAGTATGGTATGAACAGATGTTCATGGACGCCTTGTATGATTAAGTCACGTTGACTTGTGGGTGACGTCATTTAGTCATACGGCGGTTGTACACGCGCTTGGATGCGGTCCGGGGCGTGACAATTAAGTGGTATCAGAGTCATCTCAGTTTCTAAACTATATAATCAACCTCTCACATGAGACTTTACAAAAGAGTTTTATCGAAAACCATGAGCATTGTATTTTGACGCTTATAGAACTATTGTCACCGAGGTTGCAAGGTCTCTAGTTGTTAAGATGGTACCCTTAACAATTGGTATGGCGGCGACTTAGGCCAATACGTGTCTATAACATTTTCCGTCAATTGACATTGATTGGAGTCTAACGACTCGTCCAAATTCCTTTTCAGAAATGGAGGGTAGACGCATGCGGACCAGGAACAATCCGAGAGGGCAAGCACCGATAGCTTCTGTTGGAGCTAGTCGGGCTTCATCTCGAAGCTCCAGGGGTGGAAGAGGAGGCCGTGGAGGCCGTGGAGGACGTGGGGGCCACCGAGCCCAAACAGTGAGTGATGGCCACGTAAGTTCGGTGTACGAGACTAGCACCGAGAACTACGACTCTACTTATGTTCCTGAAACGGAGCATGAAGAGACCCCATACGATGGGGGTGATTTCCACACTGATGATGAAAATGATGATGAGAGTGATGCCCGATTCGCCCAAATGGGCGAATTACTTGAGTGGTATCAAAAGGAGAAACTGAGGAGAGACCTTAGGCGCCAAGCAAGGCATGGCTCTCAAGGTGTGTCGGCTCAAGGAAGCCGGGGAGCTCCAAGGGCCGCAACTGAGGCTCCACAAGGTGGGCTCGAGGGAGGTTTCATAGTGAGAATCTCCAAGTACCTCAAGGAGGCTAGGGCCTTGGGGTGTAGGTCCTTCGATGGCACCGGTGACATTACCGTTGCCGCCGATTGGATCAAGAAAGTGAAGGATGCATCAAGGGACATGCAAATTACTCCGGACGTGAAGCTAACCGTTGCTTCACGGTTGTTTGAGGGGATGGCCTCTACATGGTGGGAAGGTGTAGAAGGGAAATACCGTGGGAACATCTCATGGGAAAATTTTGAGCGGGAGTTTTATGCCCAATACTACTCCGATTTTGAGGTTAATGTGAAAAGGAGGGAGTATACTAACCTCAAGCAGAAAGAGGGTTGTACTGTTAAGCAGCTGGAGCAGGAGTTTAGAACCCTGGCTAGGTTCTTACCGGAGTACGCGATCGATGAGGACCGCATGACTGAGCACTTCTGGGATGCCTTACTTTTAGACATCCGAGACCGTGCTACATACTCACGCCTCATGACTTTCAGTGAGGTGGTAGAACAGGGCATGTTGGGAGAGGCCCAGTGGAATGAGAGGAAAGCAAGGGACGCCGAGGAGGCGAAGAAGAGGAAGTGGAACAGTTCGGGGCCGCCCGACCATTCCCGAAAGAACAACCAGGGTGGTGGTGGGGGCTCATTCAAGGCGCCGGCCCCACCGGCGAAAAAGAACAGGGACGCGAAGTGGCACGGACCTAGGCCACAGAACTCGGGAGCACCTAGATGTCCCAATTGCTCAAAACAGCACTTTGGGAAGTGTAACGAACCACCAAGGTGTTTCAAGTGTGGGAATGCGGGCCATATGAAGGCCAATTGTCCTCAAGCGACGCAGGAGAACACACCGGGAGCCAGAGGAGGGGCCGTGACGGGGAGGAACCGTGCGGGACCGTCACATGGTGGCACGGGGAGAGGCGGCGCATCAACAAGCCATGCCGCATCCGTCAACCAAGGCGGGGCCCAAGCACGAGTATATGCTATGACCGAGGCCGATGCTCGGGCTAACCCCGACTCCGTTGCAGGTAATCCCTTGTAATGTTTGATAAATTATATGTTGTTAAGAGTTAAAAATGATAACGGGCTTGTACGGGCTCGCCGGGGTCGATGCCAGTGTGTTTTTAGCAAAAAAGTTGTAGGAATACAGCTGCCCAGGGGTAAACCGGCGCCGGTCGGGGCTTAAACCGGTGCCGGTTCTATTTAAAAACTAAGGGTTTGGGGCTGCCGTAGGTAAACCGGCGCCGGTTTTACCCATAACCGGCGCCGGTCCGGTTTCGGAGGTGCTGAAACAATTAAAAATCGAATTTCCGGGGAAAGCCGAAGGAAAACCGGCGCCGGTTTTGCCCATAACCGGCGCCGGTCTAGGGGAAATGAGGCCGGGACAAATCACCGTGCTCGTAACCGGGGCCGGTTTTTAGAAAAAAATTATTTTCCGAGGTTGCCGACGGTAAACCGGCACCGGTTTTGGCCATAACCGGCGCCGGTCCAGTGTATTTGTTGGGCATCCGGCCATCCCAGGGGAAAACCGGCGCCGGTCTGGCCTAGAACCGGCGCCGGTCTAGTACATTTTCGGCCAGAAAATGTTCGTTTAGCCCATTTTCGATCCGGTACTTCGAGTAGTGTGTCTTACATCATCTATAAATGTAGGGACACTATTGATCAATGGAAGAAATGCAAGAATTCTCATTGATACCGGGGCTCAACGTTCATTTGTGAGCGAAGCGTTCGCCGAAGGTCTTGACGTGCCATTGACGCCAATGACGCAAACCTTAGTAGTCTCCACACCATTGGGAGATGACGTGGAGAGGAACCATTACTATTCGTCGTGTGAGGTAGAAGTGACGGGTCAACCTTTGACTTGTGACTTCGTACCTCTAAGTATGATGGAGTTCGATGCTATCCTAGGAATGGATTGGCTTGAAAAGTACCATGCTCGAGTTGATTGCTACACCAAAGTGTTGGAACTCGAGGATGATAAGGGGAACGCCTTACGTTTTGAGGGAGATCGGGGAGGATCTCATGGTTGTATCATATCCGTGATGAGAGCACGGAAGATGATGAGAAAAGGATGCCACGCATACCTTGCTTACGTAGTAGATGAGACAAAGAAAGAGATAGACATCAACGATGTACGTGTCGTGTGAAAGTATCCGGACGTCTTTCCCAAAGACTTGCCGGGACTTCCACCCGACCGGGAGATTGAGTTCGTAATTGAAGTTGAACCGGGAACCAAACCCATTTCGATACCTCCTTATCGAATGGCACCGGCGGAACTTCAAGAGTTAAAGGTCCAACTACAGGAACTTTTGGACAACGGATTCATTAGGCCCAGTCACTCACCGTGGGGAGCACCCGTACTCTTCGTGAAGAAGAAAGATGGCACATTGAGAATGTGCATAGATTACCGACAGTTGAACAAGGTCACGATCAAGAATAGGTATCCTTTACCGAGGATTGATGACTTGTTTGATCAACTTCGGGGGGCGATAGTGTTCTCGAAGATTGATTTGAGGTCGGGCTATCATCAGTTGAAGATCAAGGAGAGTGACATACCTAAGAGTGCATTCCGCACTAGATATGGTCACTATGAGTTTCTTGTGATGTCATTTGGGTTAACCAACGCACCGGCGACATTCATGGACTTGATGAACCGAGTGTTTAGTGAATACTTGGATCAATTCGTGATAGTATTCATTGATGACATCTTGATATACTCCAAGAGCGAGGAGGAGCATGAACATCACTTGGGGCTTGTGCTTGAACGACTTAGAGAAAAACAACTCTTTGCCAAGTTCTCCAAATGTGAATTTTGGCTCAAAGAGATTGGCTTTCTCGGGCATGTCATATCCGGTTCGGGCGTTGCTGTGGACAACGCCAAGATAAGAGCCATCATCGACTGGGAGAGACCCAAAAATGTGAAAGAAATACGTAGTTTCCTTGGCCTAGCGGGATACTATCGTAAGTTCGTCGAGAAATTCTCCGTGTTGGCATCTCCATTGACGAAGCTCACAAAGAAGGGGGCCAAGTTCATATGGGATGACAAATGTGAGGAAGGGTTTCTTGAATTGAAGAAGCGGCTTACCGAGGCACCAGTTCTTGCCCTACCCAAGCAGGGGATAGGGTACGATATCTATAGCGATGCTAGCATCCAGGGGCTAGGATGTGTGTTGATGCAAAACGGTAAGGTGATAGCCTACGCCTCTAGGCAATTGAGGAAACACGAGGTGAACTACCCTACCCACGACCTGGAGTTGGGGGCGGTAGTATTTGCACTGAAGATTTGGAGGCATTATCTCTACGGGGAGACATGCCACATTTATACTGATCATAAGAGTTTAAAGTATGTATTCACTCAGAAAGAGTTGAATATGAGACAACGGAGATGGATGGAGTTGATCAAGGACTATGACTTGATCATTGACTACCATCCCGGAAAGGCCAACGTGGTGGCCGATGCGCTAAGCAGGAAGAGTACGTCGGGGACGTTACTCACATGTCTACGGGCATTGAGAGCGCGCGTGGGGGTGTCCACATGCGGGACCCTCATTGCTAGCTTTGAGGTTAGGCCCACATTACTGGGTGAGATCAGTAGATGTCAGGCCATTGACGAGGAATGTCAGAAGATCCGTGAACGGATCCTTGAGGGGCCCGTTGAGAACTTTCGGGTACGTGAGGATGGCCTTTTGATGTTTAAAGGCCGTGTGTGCGTACCAAAGAATGAGGAGCTCCAGAAGTCTATACTAGAGGAGGCTCATTCTTCGGCCTATGCCATGCATCCAGGGGGTACTAAGATGTACCGAGACTTGAAGGAGAGTTACTGGTGGTCAGGTATGAAGAGAGACATCGCAGAGTATGTGAGTCGATGCCTTACTTGCCAGCAGGTTAAGGCAGAGCACCAACACCCGGCAGGGCTATTGCAGCCGCTTACCATTCCAGAATGGAAGTGGGAACATGTGACTATGGACTTCGTGGTAGGCTACCACGGACGGTGAACAACTATGATGCAGTTTGGGTAGTGGTCGATAGGCTCACCAAGAGCGCACATTTCTTGCCTATCAACATTACTTACCCTCTTGAAAGGTTAGCCAAGTTATATACGGAAGAAATTGTGAGATTGCATGGAGTCCCGATATCCATTGTCTCAGATAGGGATCCACGATTCACATCCAGATTTTGGCCAAAGTTTCAAGCATCCTTGGGTACTAAACTGAAGTTTAGTACAGCTTTTCACCCACAGACGGATGGACAGTCCGAACGGGTGATACAGATTTTGGAGGACATGCTTAGAGCGTGTGCTTTGGAGTTCCAAGGGAGTTGGGACAAACATTTGGCTCTGGTAGAGTTTGCCTATAACAACAGTTATCAGGCGAGTATTGGCATGCCTCCATACGAGGCATTATATGGGAGGAAGTGCAGGACACCCTTGTGTTGGGATGAGGTTGGCGAGGCCAAACTCGAAGGGATAGAACTCGTTGAGATCACCAAGGCTAAGGTGAAGATCATTCGTGACAGACTTATGGCTGCCCAAGATCGGCAGAAGAGCTATGCAGACAAACGGCGGAGACCGTTGGAGTTTGAGGTCGGGGATGAAGTCTTTCTAAGGATCTCTCCTTGGAAAGGCATCATCCGATTCATATCAAGGGGTAAGCTTAACCCCAGATACATTGGTCCATTTGAAATCCTTGAGAGGATTGGGGCCGTAGCTTATCGTCTCAAGTTGACCCCTGAACGTGAGAAGATTCATGATGTATTTCATGTATCGATGCTCAAGAAGTATGTACGGGATCCGTCACATATTCTTGAGAAACCACCGGTGGAGATCCGGGAGGACTTGCAATATGCTGTAGAACCAGTGGAAATAGTGGGCCAACAGGTGAAGAAACTTAGGAACAAAGAGATTCCTATGGTGAAGGTTCTGTGGAGGAGTGATCGGGTCGAAGAAGAAACCTGGGAGACCGAGGTCTCAATGAGGGAGCAATACCCGTTTCTTTTCGATTAGACACGTGGATTTCGGGGACGAAATCCCAAATAAGGGGGGTGAACTTGTAACACCGTCCCCAAGTGTATTTACTTTTATGTAGATTATGTATTGAACCTTATGAAATGGTTAATGAATTTACGAGGTTGTAAATTTTTGTTAATTCTTTTGCGTGAATAGTAAATTGCACGTGGGGCCCACATCGGGGGCGGGGACCACCCGATATTCCCGAGACCGCATATTTTATCCATCATGGTATAAATAATAGTTATATGGTGGTGGACATTTACTTTGGGCCATAAGAAAGGCATTGGGTTGACCGATTGGTCAAACGAGGCCCAATTACCGGTTTTGGGTAATTTATCGGATAACAGTCCGAAATGAATTTCGGGGACTTCCAAATTAAAGTTGGGGAATGTATAATCATCCTAAAGGCCCATTATGATGGGAAGTAAGTGTTATGTTTTATTTGACCCAATAAAATAAAATATAATTAGAACAGTCCGGGAAATACAACTTTCGGGACCAATTGTACACATCGGGACACAAATGGATGACCTCCCACATGAGTGGGGGCCATCCCACGTTTTTGTGCTAAACAAAGACAATAGAGGGGCTGCACAACATGGGTTGACATTGGAGGAAAGTGATGGGTGGGTGAGAAGTGACCAAATGTGGCCCAACTCTCTCACTCATTTGCCTATTGAGACAAAGAGGAGTACCCTCACCCCCTCAACTTCTTCCTGCGGCCAGAGCATCCCCAAGAGAGAGAGAGAAACCTCAAACCACCATTTCTCCATAGCCAAGTGAGCTCAAGAAAGCAAGAAGCTTAGGGAAGAAGAAGGAGTTGTTAAAGTGGAGAAAACCCTTGAAAGTAAAGGTAAGAAGCTCCATAACAACTTTCCTTCCATATTTTAATTCTCATATGACTTATATATCATATGGAGTATCCTTAAGAGTGTTCTACACGTGAGAAGTGTGGATTGAGGGGTTGAAAGGTCGTTCTAAGTCCAAGAACGGACTTGGAGGCCAAAACGACCGGTTAGCCGGAAAATAACCTTTTAAAGGTTATTTGTATTGATATGGGTTTTGTGATGATGAAACCTTGTTAGGCACTTGTCAAAGGGGATTTAAAAGCTTTCACAAAGTTTAAGGAGTCGCCGGAGTTATCGCCGGAGTTCGTCAAAGTTCACCGGAGTTTGGCCGGAGTTCAACCGAGAAGGGTAGAACTTCATCACGCTCATTTGAGGTGAGTGGACGGCTTAATGTCTTATAACTCTTGGGTTAATTATGAGATTACCTAAGTAAATGTTATATGTGTTCCTAATGATGTTCAAAAGATGCTTAAACATGTGATTATCCAAAGTGATTAGACTTATATGTATGACCCATTGATATCATAAATGAAGTATGATATGAAAATGTTTATAAAAACATATATGATGTTTTAAGGGATAAAAAGGGGCATAAAATGCTTGGTTATAACTTAATACACGTTGGGATTAAGTTTGACGCAAATCGGGTTTGAAATGGCGAGTCAACGAAAATGTTGACTTGGTTGCCCAGGGGGTAACCGGCGCCGGTTATAGGCAAAACCGGCGCCGGTTATGGATCGGCATGGCCGGTTTTATTAAATTAAATAATAACCGGTGCCGGTTATGTCAAAACCGGCGCCGGTTTGGCACTGTTTTGCCTATATGTTAATTTTCAATGCATGAATTGCATGGATGATTATGCTTAGGCCTTAAGACTTGGTTTAGTCTTGATTATTGATTATGATATAGACCTTATCTAGGATGATATGTGGTAGATCATAAGTCGGGTGGAGTACCCAAGGATCGGGCGGTATCCTCAAAACTCGGTTATAGGGTGGAGTACCCAAGGATCGGGCGGTATCCTCAAAACTCGGTTATAGGGTGGAGTACCCAAGGATCGGGCGGTATCCTCAAAACTCGGTTATAGGGTGGAGTACCCAAGGATCGGGCGGTTATCCTCAAAACTCGGTTATATAGGGTGGAGTACCCAAGGATCGGGCGTGTATCCTCAAAACTCATAGATTACTATTTGTAATTTAGGACCGGGCGGTGTCCTCAAGTTAAGATGATTTGAACCAGGAGGAGTTCTATACACTCATAGGTATATGGGTGGGTTGGGGTTTAAGCCAAGGTTACCGGCTATATTATTTCCCAAATAAACAATGACCTACGGGTCAGGTATTTCCAAGTGTATATATAATGATATATATTTCATAACTTGGGGGAAGGAACTATATGTATATGTATCACCCTATGTTTGGGTCTTATACTTGAAACGTTAGTTATTCTACATTTAGCCTGCTACTCGCTCGGTACTTGTACTGACCCCTTCGGGGGGCCCCACCATTTCAAGTTGAAGCTCAAGCTTGCTATTCTCACCTTGCTCGGTGAAGTGATCTAAAGGGAGACGTGGTTCGTGCTTCCTTTACCGTTTTTAAACTATAAACTATGCTCATGGATAATTTGTAATAAGTACATTTGTTTTGGGCCTGCGAGTCCACGTTTTGGCCATATGTCGCCCATGATTGAATATTTGATATTTCCGCGATTCGTTCAATCCAAATATGTGATGTTGTTATTTATGTTTACTTACTGAGTATGGTATGAACAGATGTTCATGGACGCCTTGTATGATTAAGCCACGTTGACTTGTGGGTGACGTCATTTAGTCATACGGCGGTTGTACACGCGCTTGGATGCGGTCCGGGGCGTGACATCAAGGGCTAATAATAATTTTCCCATTAATTTTCCACATTCATTGTCACACATTATTGTGACAACCACAGTGGCATCACGCAAATACTAAAGTCATGCTAAATCTTTTAGTCTATCTCCTTGGTAATAGTCTATACTATTTTAATTTGTACATCTTCCCTGGACTTAGACTTTTAAGTTATTTTTATTTATTTCCATTTGTGTATTGTTTATTTCCTTTTCTTTCTCGCATTGTACTTCCCTATATTTCAATAAAATCCGCCCCTTTAAAAAAAAGTTACAAGTTGAAGTATAAAATATAGACATCCTATTAAATAATATAATAAGGATACATTTATATTCACGGTAAAATAAAATTAAATATAATAAACCAAAATAAATTCATTCAAACTATTTGATATTTCAAATCTATTTTGTTTCAAAAAATAAACAATACGTGTTTCACAAATTAAAATTAAATATGTATTTTGTGTATTATATGTAATAATTCGTAATATAAAACATAATTTGTGTTTTCTATTTTACAATTTATATTGTGCTTATATTTTAGAGTTGTCTTTTTCATTTTATATTTTCAAATATTTTTAATATGTTTTAGATAATAATTACCTTACAGACTTTGCAAAAAGAATAAAAAATGACTACATTCATAGCTTCATATGGGTGACGAACAAAATACAACAAATTTGATATCCAAGTACCTACATTTTTCAAGGCTTTACAAAGTAAGCAGTCATGAGGGACCGACCATGCCATGTTTAAGATAAACAAATCCTTCTATAATATCTAAATCAGTTTAACAATAATTACATGTAGGTAAATTTGATCTTGTAGTTTCTTGCGAAATTTGTAGAGATATTCCACCTTCTTTCTTGGAAGTTGCCAAGAGACACCTTAACATGGAGGCACCTTCTTGGAAAGAGCTCTCCAACAAATAGGTGTGGGAGAAGATATGGAGATACCTTGGAAGCTTGGATGCAACTTCCTCTTGTCTACAAACTAGTCCTATAAATAGAGTGCTCCATTGTTGTTCATAGTATCAGTTTAGAAAGTGAGAAAAGTGTGTGAAGAGTGAAATACACTTAGAGTAGAAGTGTATTGGTGAGGATTGGTTTTTTGTAATAGTTGAGTGTGAGAGTTTGCTCCTCCTATTGTAATTCTGTTCTTGATATTGAATAGAAGAATTTTCCAATCCCAACAAGTGGTATCAGAGCGAGGTTGAGTTTTCATACACTGTTTTCTCATTTTCAGATAAATTTCTACAGGTTAGAAAATCGTGATTTTTCAAGTTGCTCGGAATCATGATCTGATCATACCGTTAGATTCGTCTCGTCGAGACGAGAAATCTGGTATTTTTGGGGAATTTTTTGGCCACCGGAAGAGGCCGTACGCGCCACCCAAACGCGCCGGAAAACTGCCTGCGTCATCATTGCGTCATCACGCAGTCCAGAGGAAGAAGACGAGCCACGTCATCCGCCACGTCAGCCGTGCAAGCCATCCTCTGGGTGCCACGTCAGCGCCACGTCAGTGACACGTGGCGCCACGTCAGCGCCAGCGCAGAGCCAGCTGTTGCCACGTCATCCGCCTGCTGGTCTGCTCACTGGGCTGCTGCCTGAACCGGACCGAACCGGTTCGTACTTGTGGAGGCCGGTTCACCCATTTTCAGACCGGTTTTGGACGAGGTCAGACCGGTTCCTACCATTTTCGGCCATTCCGGATCCAACGGTGAGCTCCGTTTGTCCAAATTTGGCTCCGAAAATAAGGTACGAGATATTTTGAGCGTTTTATTATGGATAAATCATCATCGGACACCATGATTGCGCTCACTTCCACAAATTACAATATGTGGAAGCCTCGGATGGAGGATTTGCTAAATTTGAGGGATTTAGCCGATCCTCTTGATAATAATGGCGTGAAACCGGATAAAAAGACGGATGAAGAATGGACAAAAATGAATAGAAAAACTGTCGCACAAATTCGACAGTGGATAGATCATAGTGTGTTCCACCATGTTGCGCAAGAACAAAGTGCTTACACACTATGGGAGAAGCTTGGTAGCATGTATCAAGCAAAAACCGCCCGAAATAAGACATTACTAATGAGGAGATTAGTAAACCACAAGTTACGAGGAGGTATTTCGGTGTCAGAACACACCAGTCAATTCCAGGATCTTGTGAATCAGTTGAGCACCACAGGATGGGTTCTCAAAGATGAAGAGCAGGCGATACTACTCTTGAGCTCTCTACCTGACAGCTGGGAGACTCTTGTTGTCACTCTCAGCAATTCTGCTCCCAATGGCAAAGTGACTATGCAGATGGTCACAGATGCCCTTATGAACGAAGAAGCCCGAAGAAAAGAAGCCGGGACTGAACAATCATATGCCTTCATGTCAGAAACCAGCAGACGAGGGGGAGGCAGAAATGGAGGAAGAAGTCGAGGTCGAGGTAGAGGCCAAGGTCAAAACAGAGGAAATTCTCAAGTTCGCGGCCGATCACAAGAACGAGGTATGTCCTGTGAAAATAATACTTGGTTTGAAGGATATTGCAACTATTGTGGTAATTATGGGCATAGAAAAAGAGATTGTAGAAAGTTTCTACGAGAGCAGCCACAGACGAGTCAAAATACTAGCCAAGAAGATGGTGTGACTATGGTTAGTTTGTCATCAGATGCGTGTCTTGTTACACATGGTGAACAAGAATGTTTACACGTAGGTACTCATGATGTTGAGTGGGTGATTGATACAGCCGCATCATTTCACGCCACTCCACACCAGAACTTATTCACATCTTATAAGTCAGGAGACTTTGGAGCTGTGAAGATGGGAAACACGAGTTTCTTGAAGATTGTTGGCATTGGTGATGTGCACATAACAACCAATGTCGGATGCGCACTTTTGTTGAAAGATGTTCGACATGTTCCGGATCTTAGATTGAATCTTATCTCCGGTACAGCTCTGGATCAGCAAGGATATCTTAACCGATTCAAAGAAGGTACGTGGAAGTTATCTAAAGGTTCCTTGGTTGTTGCAAGAGGCCATATTTGTGGTACTCTTTATAAAACTCATGCAAAGTTGTGTCATCCAAGTCTTAATGCTGTTGAAGAAGAGATATCACCAAACTTGTGGCACCGGAGGCTAGGCCACTTGAGCGTGAAGGGATTGACAACTCTTGCAAAGAAGGAAGTCATTTCCATGGGCAAAGGTGTTGCCCTAGATCCATGCGAACACTGTCTATTCGGGAAACAACACAGGGTTTCCTTCAGTTCTACTAGGAAGAACCATTCAGAATTACTCAGTCTTGTACACTCTGATGTATGCGGACCCATTGAAGAGGAGTCACTTGGAGGAAGCAGATATTTCGTGACATTCATTGATGATGCATCACGAAAGGTATGGGCTTATTGTTTGAAGAGTAAGGATCAAGTGTTTGATCGCTTCAAATTATTTCATGCCATGGTAGAAAGAGAAACATGGAAGAAGCTGAAGTGCCTGCGTTCAGACAATGGAGGAGAGTACACTTCCCGGGAGTTCTCAGCATATTGCGCCGCATATGGAATCAGACATGAGAAGACGGTTCCAAGAACTCCACAGCACAATGGTGTAGCCGAAAGAATGAATCAGACCATTATGGAGAAAGTTCGTTGCATGCTGAGTATGGCTAAACTACCTAAGCCATTCTGGGGTGAAGCTGTGCTGACAGCTTGTTATCTTATAAACAGGTCACCTTCTGTTCTTTTAAACTTTGAAGTGCCAGAGAAGAAATGGTCAGGAAGAGATGTTTCTTACTCTCACTTAAAAGTGTTCGGGTGCAAGGCATTTGCACATGTGTCCAAGGAGTTGAGACAGAAGCTGGATATCAAGTCAAACCCATGCATCTTCATCGGGTATGGTGATGAAGAATTCGGATACCGGTTGTGGGATCCCGAAGTGAAGAAAGTTGTACGAAGCAGAGATGTTGTATTTCATGAAAACGAGTTTCATGGGTGTGCTCCAATAATCCGCCAACAACATACTCCAGAAGACGAAGTGTCTGTATCATCAAACATTCCTCTCAGCGACGAGGAGATGCATGATACTACTGAACAAGAGAGTGATGGTTCAGTAGGTGATGATGATACTCACAGTAATGATATTCCTCAGCAGGGGGAGCCTTCATCTGAAGACGAAGCTGAAGGTACTCATGTTCGACGTTCTATGCGAGGCATAGTTCCACAGAGAAAGTATTCCATATCCGAATGGATACTTGTCAGCGAGGGGGAGCCAGCGAGCATCGCAAGAATGAGAGAAACAAAGAAAAAGGTGGAGGGGGAGATTTGTAGAGATATTCCACCTTCTTTCTTGGAAGTTGCCAAGAGACACCTTAACATGGAGGCACCTTCTTGGAAAGAGCTCTCCAACAAATAGGTGTGGGAGAAGATATGGAGATACCTTGGAAGCTTGGATGCAACTTCCTCTTGTCTACAAACTAGTCCTATAAATAGAGTGCTCCATTGTTGTTCATAGTATCAGTTTAGAAAGTGAGAAAAGTGTGTGAAGAGTGAAATACACTTAGAGTAGAAGTGTATTGGTGAAGATTGGTTTTTTGTAATAGTTGAGTGTGAGAGTTTGCTCCTCCTATTGTAATTCTGTTCTTGATATTGAATAGAAGAATTTTCCAATCCCAACAAAATTCATTCATTCAAATCCATTCCAAGGGTAAACGGTCTTATAATTAAAATTTCCTCGAGTAGGTATCAAATTTTTAAAGCCTGTACCAGCTAGGGGTGGGCAAACGGGTCTTGGAACCGCGGTCCGGGCCGGGTAATGGCGGTTCGGGTCCAAAACGGGCCGGTTCCATTTTTTGTTGCCATAAAACGGTCCGGGTAGGGTCGGGTAATTGTTTTTAAGGAACCGGACCGGTTCCAAAATTAAAAAATAACGGGTACCCGGCCCGGCCCGTTATATATATTGTATATTAATTTATTAATAGTTTGTGATAATCGGTTTTGAAATAGTTTTGTGATAATATATTAAATTGAGTTGGAGTAACATCTTTTTGTTTTCAAATTATTGATTAAATGTTTCATAAATATCTTATTACTTTTTATTGTTATTAAATTATTCCTTTCAATGGAATTTAATTATTTGTTAAAAATGATTTTGTTATATTTTTTATTATATTGTTCTTAAAATATATAAATTGTGTTTACCACCCACCATGTATGTGTCAACTTTGGCTAATACTGAAAATTTAATATTAAAAAAAAGCAATCACTTGAATATGTGATGTTAGACAACATGTTTAAATACAAATGTTAGAAAATATGTATGTTGACTAGGTTGCATATTTTTGGAATTTCTTTAATTGTTTGAAACTTATATACATGAAATTATGAAGTATTGGACTTGTCGCTTGTATTACATGTGCACCACTATGTTGTTATTTTGAAACTTGCTAATGTCCTATATTATTGATTATTGATTTTTGGAACTTCATGAGTTTTTACTAATTTCAAGACATGAGAATAGAAACCGTAAAACCCGGACAGGACCGACCCGTTTCAAACGGGCCGGGTAATTTCCGGTTCCTATTTTGAAAATTGTAATACCCGGACCGGACCGAACCGTACAATGGAACCGGCGGTTCCATTTTATTTTGCATTACCCGTCCCGACCCGGCCCGTACCCAGCCCTAGTACCAGCCAATATTAGAACTTCTCAAGTTAACAGAGAAAGTGTACTAAACAATTTTAGATCACTAATGCTAAAGGTACCCCATTTTGTACCCCCTCCTATGTTTGTGGTTCACAAAAGCAATGAGTTAAAATAGAGCAATTATTTTAATTGGATTGGATTTTTGTGAGCCACAAACATAGGATGAGGTACAAAATGGGGGTACCTCTAGCATTTCTCATTTTAGGTTATTTTATCTTCCCCGTTATATCCTTCTAGCTTCTAAAGTGATCGTAGGCCATATATGCAGCCCTCTGTCTCCTTTTCATCCTCGTTGTTCCTCCTCAGAATCATAATAATAATGAGGGATGCTAGTAAGGCAGTAACCACTAACCATCTGCAAAATTAGCTCTTATCTTCCCACCTCTCTTATCAATCAGCCATTTTAGTAGACTAACAAGAAGGATAACATCTCTATTGTATGCTTCAGGGTGCCACTTCTTTAATTGACAAGAGAGATCAATGAGTTCATGGTCTCACTGGATCATGTGGAGTCTTCTCTGCCTCTGGTCCCTGAGACATTTTCTCTTCTCAGTTCTCCCCTCTTCTCTAGTTCTCTAACGTTTTGAATCTGAACAATATACAAGGGATTGGCTATTTGGCTGTAGTGGAAATTAAAAGATTGAAAAAACCAAGTGAAACCACCTAACTTCCAACCACTTGAACTCGGTAGCTCTAGTTTGATCTATATTTTTATGGGCATGAGGATAATTGTAATCCTCACAAAGCTCCCTCAAAAATATTTGTTTCGCAGGGCTCATCGGCTGATCGGCATCACAGATAACTCAGGGGTGGAGGATGACGAAGGGACTTTAGTATCCTAGACTAGGGGTATTTTAGATATTTGGAATTAAATTTTTTTTAAGATTTAATATGGGGACTGTAAATAGCAATTTGGGAGATGCGAATAGAATTACCCTTAACCAACCGTTTGCCTTCAAATATTCCTTCTTTCAACATTCAAAGCGCTACTCAGCTATTTTCAACTTTTTAGCAAAATTTATAAGACTAATTCATACTTTCTATAATAATTTGTATTGAGAGTTTTCGTAAAAGTAATCCGAAACTGTTTATTGACTAGTGTTGTCATGATAATCTCACATTTATATAATATCAGAACAATCTCACATTTGCATTTCATCTTCTTGTGTTGGACCCTGACCAATTGATGATCTACTATACCGGTTTTTTTTTGAAAATCTTATATAAATAATCTCATCATTGACAAATCCGCTCAAAACAATCCTGCATTTCAATTTATTTATTTTTTTCATTTTTTTCATCTTATTATATCATTTTTTTATTTGTTTATGTTTTTGCTTTCCTTTTTCTCAATAGTTTTTTCTTTCTTCTTCTTTCATATTTTACTTCTTCTCTTTTTATGTAGGAAAAATTGATAAGAGTAATCCCACATTTTGCTTGTTTTTGACATGTTAGTGAATAGTGACGTTTTCTTGATCTAGATTTCTTTTTATTTTTTCTCCTTTTCGGATAATGTTTCTCACATCTACCTTTCTTCGTATAAAGAGAGTATAATAATTTTTTCTCATACTTCCTCGATATTTTTTCTTTAAATTTTATTTTTCCCTAATCTTTTTATCACAAAGATTTTTTCCCATAGCTGATGAAATTTATGAGTGGGCTTACTTAGAAAAATTCAATGATGTAGAAAGAAAAAAATATATTGATGGTGTAATTAAGCTAACAAGAAGAAAGAATAGAGGATAGAAAGAAAACACACACACAAAAAGTAACAAGAAGAAAAAAGGGAAAAGTGAAATTAAAAGGAAAATAGAACAAAAATTAAAATGTGAAAAATATATTAATTAAAAGAGAATGGTTAAGAAAAGAAACACATAAAAAGGGAAATGAAATGAAAAATATGGGAAAAACGAAATGACACAAATCTGTTCTGAAAGGAAATTTTACTAATAAAATTCTCATAATAGAGCGAGAAATAGAATAATAAATATGGAAAAGAAATAAAAATAAAAGGATGGAAAAGGAATTAAAAAGTGTCCAGGGATAAAAATAAAAATAAATAAAAAATTTAGGGTGAAAGAATAAAAAATGAAACATATGACTATTTTGAGCAGATTTGTGCAAAGTGAGATTAATTATGTAAGACTTCCAAAGAAATGACAAAAAACCTGTTATAGTAGGTCATCAATCGGTCACGTTCCGTGAAAGAAGATGAACTGCAAAGATGAGATTATTTTGGGATTACGTAAATGTGAGATTATTATGAAAAGAACGGTCATATATCTGATTATTATTGTCAATTTTCCTTGTTAAAATAAGTGATATTGTTATTATTACTCTTTCGCTGCTCTCCTTGCCCTATCATAATATTATAGTTTACTTGTAAATGAAATTTAATTACTAACGTCTCCCAACACTCCACCCAAACATGCCGTAATACGTAAAGTATTCAGTCTGCACATCATGAGTTCGTGTGAATGTATTTCAAATTTTATTACATTAACACGTAAAAAACATCAAAGAAAACTGAACCTCTTCACAGCTTTTTTTTTTAAATCAATAACTTAATTACTATTAATAAGGGTAACCAGAAACATAACAACCAAAAGCATTACAATCACAGCGTTCAATGCTACACTAGGGTGAGACAAAGAACAAAAAAGCCATATAAAAGTTATGTTCGCTAACCCTGCAACTATGTAGACTCGTCCCACAATTTGACTGCTCGTGCTACTCGAAATAGGTCCGGTTTGACCAGCCACCAAAAAGGATTTGTTAAACTTGCTGGTTTTTCCAGCCACCGGTAAGGAGCCAAGTGCAGAAATTGTTCCGGTTTCACCAGCCACCGGAAAGAAAGCAATCCATTCACTCCCATCTTCCTTGATCGGCGGTGGTTCAGGAGGGGGGCGATCGGCCTCTATATTGATACAGAAGAAATCTTGATTCAGGATCGATAGAGAAGCCAATACACATGTCTTACTAACACCCAAGAACACCTGACCGATGATGGCGGGGAATATAAATCTGGCGAGCGACACTTCGCCACCGAAAATAATATCTCTAGACAACGCTAGGAAATAGACGTATACATAGAACTCCAAAAAATTGATCTAAAGAAACTTTTTTCATTATTGGGATCCAAAGAAAATTGAACAAAGAGAGGAAGAAGAAGAGGAGGCGGCTAGGGTTTCCCCTTCGCCGCTCCTCTCCTAAGGTGCGTAACTACGTGTGTCCTCTTCACAGCTTCTTAAAAGCTCAATACTTGCAACACAATAAAATATAACCATGTATAACCAAAATTGAAACAGAACACTGGTATAAATTTGATGATTTTGCGGCATCTCGTTTGCAGCGCTTATTAAATTAAATACCAATAGATTACTAAACTAAGGCTCATTTAAAAAAATGTGTCAACTTTTAAATTTGGACAAAAATGTGACTAAAATAAAGTGACAACCAAATATTAATGTCACTGCTCATTTTCATGTCACCGTTGGATCACTTGGATGTCAGTGCCAGTCGTGTCACTGCTACCGCCATCGCTCGTGTCACTGCCGCCGCCGTCGACCATAGTGACACCGCCATAGTGACACATTCAAAGTACTTCCTCCGCAATGACACTGGCCACATTTACCCATTCCAAAAAACCCCACCGACCACCTCCGCCACTGCAGGCAACCACAAAGGTTGCCGCCGCCCCCACCGGCGTCGACCAGCGTGCCACCCATCTCATTTGACTCCACCAGCAACCCAAACGCCCCAACCACCCCGCCATCCCATCACAGTCCACCACTGCCCACCACCATCACAGTCCACCAC